GGAGATTATAATATCGAAATTCTAAAAGTTGCTCTTAGAAATGTATTTAATATTGAATTTATACAAATTGATGCATTAGAAAGAAATACGACGTCTGTACAAAGTCTAATTCTATCTAATATTCACAATGTTCAAGCATTAATTATTCAACAAAATAATCATTATTATTGTTTACGTCGTTTTCGATTGACAAAAGATTATTTTTTCAAAATAGATTCCAAGTTTCCATTATATCATGAACCTATTCATCGTGGACATATACTGAACTTTCTTCGTGCTCTTCTAGCAAATCACTCAAACATCTACGTACTTGTGCATTATACTTCGGATCATGCTGATGATCAACTTTCTATAGATAATATCGAAACAAGACTATGGCCATTGCCAGATGCACCAGCTGATCTAGAGTGTTTACTTGATTTACATCAAACTCAATAAATGATAGGGATAAACGCCACTAATTTAATCGTATATAAAAAAGAACAAAGAAATTACCAATTAAATGCTTTATTTAAAATTCTGAAACAACAAGTAACGCTCGTCTGCGGACTCGCTCAGCTCTTCCTCGTAGAAATCGTATTCTACAATACTAAACTTTTTCCTTATACAGTTTGGAAAAATTAACACCAGATTTGTGTTCTTCCACCCCACTTACCCTTCGGTCAACCCTTATGAAATTTTTTTTTTATAAAAATTGGTTCTCTCACTAAAAAAGTGATCCACAAAATTATTTTATAAAACTGACATCAGATTCGAAGTCTCCGCATCGAAATGCCCCAAAAATGCCTTTTCTAAAAAATCGATTCTTGAACTACCCTCTGGTAAAACTTTCTTGGAACTATCGTTAAGATTAATAATATTAATCAATTATTAATTGATTTTTAACTAAAATTAACCTCACATTCGAATTCTTGGCACTCGCTTACCCTTCGATCAAACTTTTTCAAAAATTAATAATATCAATTATTAATTGATTATTAACTAATTAATTTTAATAAATCAATGTCAGATTCGGATTCTCCATACTCGATTACCTTTTAGTCCAACTTTTCCGAAAATACTTCAAAAATTAATATTATCAATTATTAACTAATTATTAATTGATTGTTATCTAAAAATAACCTCAGATTCGGATTCTTCACACTCGATTACCCTTCGGTGAAACTTTACTCGAACATATAACAATACTAATTATTAACTGATTATTAACTAGTTAATTTTAATAAACTAACCTCAGATTCAAGTTCCCCGCCCTCGATTACCCCCCAATCAAAGTTTTTCGGAAGTATCTGAAAAATTAAATTTCAATGTTTTTTTGACCCTGCAAACATACAAGCAAGCAATCGGTCAGACAATTTATGTTTACTGGACTCTTCTCTACGAGAAAGAGAAAAAGAAATTGTAATAGTTCATTTGCTTTTTATTTAATTATTCGAATATAATTATATGATATTCATAATCATAATAGATAACAAAACAATTCTAAAAAATAAAATAACATTATGATGGAGAAACATCTAAAGTCATATCTCTTACATATTTATTAACGATGTTCTAATTCTTTCAACTTTGAGTGTAATATTAAAATTATTTTATTCAGTTGTGATGTTCATTTTCTATGATCTGAAAACTCATAACTTAATTCATGAAATTAAAGATAAAGTATTGCTTACATTATTCAAATAATTGATCATGAAATTAAAAATACGAAAATAGTAATGATGCTGTATATGTATTTTATCAGAAGCTAATTGATAAGCTCTTAAACGAAAATTTATAACATTAAAATTCATTCGATATGATAATTGATATAAGCGATTATTATACAATTGTATGTTCGATGTTAATTTAATTTTATTCCAAAATTTACTAGTAGTTTTCAAACAAGGAAAACATAATGGTATAATAATACGTTGACGTGGATTAAATTGAGGATATACTTGTCGGAGAAAAAAAATAATTTCTTCAATTTGAGAAATAATTGTAGATGCTCGAAAAATTCTAATTGAATTAGTTCCAAGCAACAATAAAACTCCATCAACTTGAGATAACAAAAGTTGAATTTCAGATGTAAATAATAAATCAAATAATGAAAGGTTTTTTTTATCATAATCTTTAAATTTTAAACCTGAAATAGACTTGGTGATTAACGAATATGATGATGTTGAAAAATTTGAGGGCATCTGTCGAACATGACTGTCACCTAATACAAGGAATTTCAATGAAAAGATAGAATAAATATTCTATCTTAGTATAAATTTTTTTTATAATTGATTTCAAGTAATAGTAAAATTATGCGCGCAAAACAAAGAAATAAATAAAATTGAATATTTATTCGATTAAAAAAGTATCCAATACAGCTATAGCCAATCGAGGAGTAGCGTGTATAAATTATATTCTCTGATTATATTAGTTCATTAGTTGATATTAGTCGTACTTCGATGTAGATATAACATCAAAAAATTATTTAGTTAAAAAAAATGTTATATATCATACTTACACAGCATGAGATAATCACATTTTTTTATTTACATTTAATGTGTAAATAAAAGCAAAATAACTTTACAGAAATTAAAACACTTCGTTCATAGATTATACAATCCATATCGATCGTATCGTACTTAAAATATCAGATAATAACATCATTCTATTAATCTTCATAATTTATTCAAATTCTAGATAATCTATATATTTTTAATGAAAAAATTTTTTGTTTCAAAAATAAACGTAGATACTACTGTTATCATCATGAATCAACTCCACATCTATCTATAGATGTAAAAAAATAGATCAAAAAATAACAGCATAGAATATAACAATCATTGAATTTAAAAATAAATTGCTCAAAAATAGCAAATTATTAATTTATGCACTATAAAATTTAATGCATTTGGTTTTATACGATACGAAATTATCATTAATGCCATAGTTAATTAACTGAAATATTACATACAAAAATTCAACCATTAGATATCATGACGACGTGTTAACTTAGATAATTAACACAAAAAAGTCAGGTTTATTTTTTGAATGTTCAGTATTTGAATTGTTATATAAATTATAGTTCACAAATATCTAAAGAAGCCGAGAAAATTATCACGCGAAATATTATCGTGAATATATCGAACGTCATATCATTGAAAAATTTTATCGTCCCATGAACCAAATATTCACATAAAGTTTTCAAAATAAATAATCTTCAAAATATGAATTTACCATTTATTATTATTATTTATAATCAAGATTATAACATAGTCAAAAAAATTTAAGTATACTATAAAACTATTCTTTCTTTCACTTTTAATCTTGACAACATATTGTACTTTTTTTCATTTCATTGAATTATATTATCGCCGATACTATCATATTATTTCTTATATTTAATCTTCTCATTATAGATGCTTCAAGCAGTTCTATAAAATCAAATATAGAATCATAACAATTAATAATAATACATAAACGAATGTAAAACCAATTTTAATATAATATTTTAATAGATGAGTAAAAATTTCATACAAGAAAATATTTCATAACGTAAACTACTTATAATCATAATCAAAACAAATGTCACTACGTCCAAGCATTTTCAATTCTCACTTAGCACGAATTAAAGTATTTGTTGTCATTCCTCGCTTATTCATTTCTCTAACATATTCAACTAATTTAAAAGGCATCATACTCAACTATATTGGAAGTTCATAAAAACAAAATGATATATAAATTCCAAAGAAAAAAAATCTCAAACATATTCGACATATTCGCTTATGAAGATTAAATTTTATTTTATTCATTGAAATAAATGAAACATCATATATAAATAGGTATATCCATATTAGACAGATATATAAACATTGAAATTTGGTTATTTGACTACATCAGTTAATATCTACCGTTCACAATGCACGATTTCTTCATTTTTAGTTAGTCGACAATACAAAAAAAATTAATTTATGTATATGTAATGTATTATATTATGAATATGCATAATAATAGCAAGGTTTTTTTTACAGAAGTAATTCTCTATAACAACAATAAATACATTGTCTCAAATTTATTATTCATATAATTTTTAGTCGAATATCTTCACTGTAAAACTTAATATAATTCAATGAGAAATTTATTTTCTTAACATCATGAAAATCGACTATTTTAAAAAAAAAAGATAAATAAATTGTCATAAATATATGTATATAAATAATCTTATTATCTATGTACTCCTTTAACGTATGTAAAAATATAGAAATTATTAGATTGGCATTGATAATCGACTGAAAATCATTAATAAAACTCAATTTAATAAATTGTCTTACATGTCGATGAAAAAACATTGTATCTAATGATTAACGATAATTTTTTATGAATCAAGATTAATAATTCGATGAAATTAAAGTAAAACAAAGGTACACAACATTACAATAAAAATTTATGATATTGATAGGTAAGACAATTCTTTATTTAACATTTTTTAATCTTACGTATTTGATAATTCTATAATTCGATATGTTATTATATCATGAGAAAAGTCATTGATTTTGCTTAGTTCATTTGAAAATATCTGATACGTCGATCTTTTATATCATTGATTAAAAATAAAATCATTAGAATCACTTTATTATAATAAAACTTTCTTCTAGAATAATAATTTATATACACTGAAAATTATGTGATATGGTAAGTAACAAATATTTTTTATCTGCATGAGATAAAGGTAATACCGTGAAAGTGGATAAATATCAGATAAAGGCAATATTTATATCCATTCTCAAAGTTTTAATTAAATTTGTTACTTTTTTTTATACCTATGTGAATTTTACGAGACCGTTCAATTTTTATCTGATAATGACCACTTTAGTACTCACAGTATCATTAAAAATAACAATAATATTTTCATCTAAACTCATGATAAAATACATTGAATCTTATTTGCACCATTAACTGTTTCTTGTCTTTTTTATTTTTCTATTTTAAAAAACAAAATGGCAAATAAAAACTGAAATGGAAAAAAATTTGTTTGTATGTTCAAATATGATCCAGGATTTTCCCATAAATGTGTTTACGTAAATAGAAAAATTATTTTTGACTTTTATCATATTTAATGTTGGAAAATTATTAGTTAAATCTAAAACGATTGAACACATTAAAAGTTTGCTTCGAAAAATATAATAGAATGAATTTTTAAAAATTTCGTAAATGATGAAATCTTTGATACACATATTTAATTCTAACTTGATGAAATTACTTTAACTTCTTTTGTAATATTATTTTAATGAAAAACAAGTAAGCGATCATCAAAAATAATACGCGAAAAATTGGTCGAGTTATAACATTGATCACTTTCATTGTACTAAAAATAAATCAAAGAGTTATGACTAAATATTTTCTAATCAAATTATACAACATGTAATTTGTTCCACAACTTCATAATGAATATCCGCATAAACTTATATGATTCTCTTCTATTGAGTAAAGTTGTTTATTATTGTCTAAGCCTTATATAACTATTTAAATAAATTCAAAATAAAAATGAATCATGAAACAATTAGTTGTATGAAACAAAATGTTAAAAATGATTCCTAATATATTCAAACTATTGTCTGAGAAAGTCGAATCACTTTGAAGGTAATAATAATGAAGTTGTAATGGATCTGCAATTGAAATAACATAAGAATTATCGAAACCAATTATTATAATAAATGTAATTAACATAAAACAGTTTACAGTATATTTACGAATATTCTTGTTTGACTCAGTCACACTTTACAACATTTATTTTTATGATTGATTACGTACATTATGACGCTCATATCGCTATTCTCTATGAACAATAATTTCTATCTTTATTATACAGGTGTATTATCATATAGTACAGATACTCACAAGATTTCTTTCTCATTTTCATACATTCATACCGATATAAATCTATTCTTTATTACACATTATAGTTATTAATAAAATGCTTCCTCAACCGCTTTTTAATACCCGAATGAATACTTGCAATAAAGATAGTCAAATTTTTGCTTACGGTAATTTTGGTTATGGAATTTATTTACAAGATGTTACACTTTATCGCAATCCATATACAGGATGTATCAATGTTGAAGTTGAAGTTGATTTTACTCCAACACGTAATCATTATTTTCAACTTATGACTACTGTTCCTCCTCTTATTCATCAACATTATATTAATTAAAGAATTGAATATTTGGAATGGATAATATATAAATTCGTTTCTTTTTTCTTTGTAGTTTTATAGAATAAAACAAATTTAATATATCAACATTATAAAATCAATATATCTATCTTATGAGTAACAAGTAACTTGAATATCGTTGCTTGTTTTTTATCTATTACTAATATTATATTCAGTTTGTAACTTTTTTCAATGAATTAGTCTTTAGCTATGGATCTTTTGATACTCGATCTAAAACAATATAAATATAAAAATCAGAATCAGAATCAGTGGGTCGAGCATGACGAAAAAAAACATACTCATATCAAGACATTTCGCTTTTGAATAAAAGTTTGACGGCTCATTTATCCTCGAGAAAAATAGGAGTTCCCTTAGTCAAATTTAAATACAAATGTTGAAGTCCTTTCATCTCAAACTTATTTATCAATTGCACAGTAAAATAGTTTTGAAAGATCTTCTACAAAAACAAATTCATAGTATAAAACAATTTAGAATAGATGCAAACATATACTCTTTGTTTATGAAAAAATGTCTTCAAATAATCAAAGCTTGGTACACGTAACTCATAAAATAAATCCACTAAATAAATAACTTTATATATCGATAGATTGATTGTAATGAAATACAATAATTTTGTAACGCATATCCAACATAACTTAGATAAGCTCCAAAGATACAAATACATCTTCACGATCAATTTGACTGAGATCATTTCTCAAGCTAACTATAATCTTACTCAATAGATCACCTCCAAATAGAAGTTCACATAAACATAAATTAACAATTAGGATTATTGAAACATTATGACATGCTTTATCGATTATAACAATAATTAAAAATATAACAGCAAGTATAACAAGTAATTCATACATGCGAACATAAATACATCGAATGAAATACGCCGTGGTTCAATATTTGTCATTATTGAAATTACCTCTATTCTAATTATAAAAGAAAATAGTAAATTATATTTATTATTTTATACGATGAACATTTTAAAAGACATTGTAAGATAAATAAAACACATGCTTTTGGACTGTCAGTATATAACATCTAATTGAATGAAGTCTAAAATAGACATATTAATTTTCTATAAAACAAAATATCAGATTTATATTCTTTGTATATAAATTATCTGGTATAGAAAATAAATTTAATATTCTTTATGAAACTATTTTTAAAATTAAATCTGATAAATAAAAATCTTTATCATCATCACGATACACTCCAAACTATTCTAATATATAACATTGTATAGAAACTCATAATATCAAGAAAAATAAATGTGAGAATCAAAGTTTTTATAATCGTTCTATTTAAGACAACCATGCATCTTAATTGTAACGAACATCTAAGGTTATCTCAAATCAACACGATATATATCTGAAGACAATTTGATTATAACGACTATTAATTAGACTTACTGAATAAAAAAATCTATAAACAGTTTACTAATTTAGTTTTCTCAATTTATTCGAGCGCTCAACAAAATTCAGATATATTCTAATTATTTTTGCAATTTTTCCTTTTAATTATTTTTAAACATTAGTATGTAGGGGTACACATAGTTCAGTTCTAGTTCAGAACCGTTCACTTTTTCAGAAGACGCAGCTCGCCGAACTGAACTGTCTGAACAGTTCAGTTCAACGAACTGAACTTATTGAAACAGTTCAGCTCACGTGAACTGAACTGTGTAAACAGTTCATTTGAACGAAGTGAACTTATTGAAACACGTCAGTTTACATGTACTAAAGCGTATAAACAACTTTTTAGACAGTTCAGTTCACGTGAGCTGAACTGTTTCAATAAGTTCAGTTCGTTGAACTGAACTGTCTATATAGTTCAGTTCACATAAAGTGAACTGTTTTAATAAGTTCATTTCGGTGAACTGAGCTATGCCATCGGTTCTTTAGTTCATTTGAACGGAGTTCATGAACTGAACTGTGTGTACCCCTATTAGTATGACTAGATCATATTTGTATCAACTACCGAAAGAACTGATTGATAGAATTAGTGATGGATTAACAGGAATCGATCTTTTTAATTTTACATTAATGTATAAAAATTATCTTTACATAATTAATCATCGTTTATTGCAATTGCTTCGTGCTCAAACCAAGATTTTACTTACGAACGAAACAAATGTCTTACTTACGATGCCAAATTCACCTTACATCATTCATGAAGATGGTATCAGCATCTTCTTATCATCATATAAATGGAATAATTTCGTTTATGGTGCTTTTAAATTGGACGTGATAGAAAAATCTTTAAAATATTATTCTACAACTATGTTTTCTTTATACTGTCGGTTATGGTCATTCAATCCATTCTATTATGAATCATCTTATCCCACTCTTAACATCTTCAACTACTCATGTATGACGATTACTTTTTTTTTCTTTTCAAAGATTTTTTATTGATTTTTAAGTTGTGAGAATTCATGTAGTATTTATATTAGAGTTAATTGATCAGAAATAATTTAACCCTTTGTCATTTTTCATCATATTTCTATAACATCATTTGGAAAAATTATAAAAAAAAGTATTAAAAGTGCAATGGAGCTTCTGAAATTCTCGTAAATAGATAATAAGAATAAACCTTTCAGAGAAACAAATTAACTCTTCATTAGAAATAGACCAAAATAAATAAAAGCTTATCGAATAACATAAATTATTAGGAATTTCAAAAAATAGAGATATCAAATCATTATAAAGTTTCAACCCTATATATCATCTAGATCTTCTACAACCACGTCCACTATCCGTTGAAGAATTCACTTTTTTTAAAATACTTGGAAACAATCCAAAAATACCAGAAATTGTTAAGAATTTGAATCATTTTATTCAAAATTTTACATATCGATACGAATATGATGTATGGGGTCAATATGTTGATTGGAATTCGTTTATTATTGCTGGTGGTTCCGTCGTTTCCTCTTTGCTAGTTCATCATTCGACAAGAAATGGTTCTGATATTGATTTATTTTTTCTGAAAGAAAATCCACAACTATTTAAAAACGCTGTAGTAAGAAAAAAATCTGCTTTTTCTTATGCAAACTTTTGTTTACATAAGACAATTTATATTAAAGCTAATTTATTTATATTTTGGAAATATTTTCACAAGTTATTGTGTAATAATGTATCAAATTGTTCATCTTTTTTTCTTTCGTAGAACGAACTAGAGTTGCGATTACAGAATACATATTTTATTCAACGTAAAACAATATGGGTGGACAGATTAGTTCAATTTGATTTATTTCGAAAATTTACTATTCAAGATATTTTCAACGGTCATCATTTCACTCCATCAGTTATTATACAACTTATTCGTCCAACTATCACACCTATCACCATCTCACGAATCCTTCATTCCTTCGATCTTGATATATGTGCTGCAGCATTCAATTCTAATGAAGTAATTATTTCATTTAGTTGTTTACAAGCATTAAATTCCGGACATACAACATGCTATGATACTCCAATTTCGCCATCTAAATTCGTTAAAAGAGCTATACGCTTTCATAAATATCAACAACGAGGCTTTAACATTCTATGTCCGAAAGACTTCGATGTCGATGCATTTTTTAACACAATCGTTAAAGATTGCAAACAAATTCCATCAGAACGATCATATCGATTTCGAACCCAACAATTTGGTGATAACTGTGACTCATTTTCGATACAAAAAAAGTTTTGTGAATATTATAAATTATATTAATTCTAAATAAATATGTAAAAAACAATAAATATACATTAACATAGATTGTTATTTAACAGTAACTAAAATCAATAAAAATGTTACTTTAAATTATTTTATTTATTTGATAAGATTTAAATTTATTTATCCAATAACATTTACGCACAAATACTTTCGGATTCGTCAATAGATAGTTTATTCCCATCAGTTGACAATAAACTACTATAGCGAAGATTTTTAGAGTCATAAACGAGATGTATTTGATTGCTAGTTGAAATAGAAAATAAAGGTTTAAATAATACTGGACGTTCTTCATGTTGATGAATGATAATTCGTCTACGCAATAACATAGCTGAAGCAACAACTACGATTCCATCAGCAAATGTACCACCTTGACGCATTTTATAAATAAAATCTTCCCATGATGAAAAATATTCATCATCAATACATGATTCAAAAACTTCACGATTATCCGATATAAAATCAAGAATAAGTATTCGTAAAATAATATATCCTTCCTCGGAACCAGATATCTGATCACTTAATGCTCTAAAATAACAGTTGCCATCAGATTCTATTTCTCTAATTGTAACATTGAATGAACATATAGTTTTGAATTTTGGAATATAATTGACTTCTAAACTAACATCTTCTTCATATTTTTCATCTTCTTCTTCTGTAGACTAAAACAGATTATAAGAACTAACAACTTCATATATATTCTCAATATAAAAAAAGTAGATGTTTATTAATGCAAAATCACATTATAACGCACTTTTTTTATATCATCTTTTTTTTCAGTAGCTAAATATATATATGAGTCATCTTCTAATTTGGTTTTGATTAAATGTACAATTGGACAATGTTCTTCTGTTTGATAAATATTTTCAGAATTATTATCATGTATATAGATAGTAATTCCATATATTTTAACTGCTGTCATAATGTAAGAGATATGTTGACTAGATTCATCGTTAAATAACCTACAGAATTTCTTTTAGTGTACCGTTATCTATTTAGATATATATGCTTCACTCACCAATCATGTTGACTATATAATGTGTAAGAGATTGAATCAACTTCTTCTTCACTATTGAACAAGCAAATAGATAGCGCACGTTCAAAAGAACGATCTATTTGACTAATCAGACGTACATTATGTTCATATTTATCAATAAGACGTTCTTTAATATCATTTATGTTCAACATATCCATTGAAAGAGTCAACATAAATGTAATGAAGTTAAAATATATTTTAAATAAAAAATATTTAAGCAAAATATTGTATTTAGTACGAAAATTAATAAATTATCGCGCTATTTTATTTCATTACATTTTATTTTAATTTCATTTCACATTTTTTAATTCTTTTATTTTATCATCCAAATCATTATATTTATACATGAAAAGAACGATCACTACCATAACAAATTCAAATAATGCAAATGTTAAAGCAAATTTATCTCTTGAAGGTGTTGTTGTAGCAGTAACAGCTATTTTGGATAGCCAAATTAGCTAACAAGGAAAATATTGGACAGCATTAGTATGCGACTCAAATCAAAATTTAAATCGCATTGCAAAATATTTGTCGTCGAAAACTAATTGTTCACTTCATCCAAAAATTATTGAATATTTAAATAATCAAAATGGCATTAAATTAAATAAACTTAAATTTAGTGGCGATAATATGTATACTGCAAGTAATGAAACAATAGCTGCACCAAAAGTCGTCACATTCACACCTACCTGCACTCAAATTAGTACAATTAATGATATTCAATCCATGTCTGATGGTCAATATATATCCTTCATGTGCAAAATAATCGATATTGGTCCTGTAAGCATGTTTAAAATACTTTTATATTAAAATAATTCTACCTTCTTGAGGATGATACTATTCTATTCAACAACGGACCAAAGAAAGTTCAAAAACTTAAGAGAACGACCATTATTGCTGATAAAACAGATTCAATAAATATGAATCTTTGGGAAAATCAATTTGATTTAATAGAAAAAAATTTTTCGTATAAAATTAAATTAGCGAAAATTAAAATATTCAATAATGATGTTTCAATAACAACAACAATACATACAACGTGAGCATTTTTTTGTTACTTTTTAAAAAAGTCCCTTAAAGAATATTCTACAAAAACTTTCTTAACTTTTTATATATATAATATATAAATATCTACTGCTGAGATAAGGTATCTATTCAAATTTATAGATTTGAATCAATAGAAGATATAAGTGATATAAGTTGTTCTGATTCTGTTCAGCTCTCGTATGAATCAACGATAATAGGAATAATTACATCAATTGGATTAGTTGACAAGACTTTTAACTGTCCAAAATGTTATTCAACTGATATTGAGCGAAATGATAAAACAATTAGATGTAATGCATGTAAATCAAGATCATTATATTTAAAACAATCGAATCAAAATCAAATACAACTGAATGTTACTGATGTTAAACAAAATACATTTGAATTTATTGTTGATACACCAAAAATTATAACTTTATTACAAGAATGTAATCATCAACAACTTCCTACACAAGATTTAATTGAACAAGAAAGTGTCCTACTTGTCTTATCATCGATAACTGTTGTCGTTAATTTTAATCCAATAGATAAACATATAACTAATATCGCCATAAACAATAACGAAAACTAATCACATAAAATATTATTAAAAAGATTTTTAAATGAAATAGATTGAAATTTTTTTTTTATTTAAGTAATAAAATAAACAATATTCATTTTTATAACTTCCGGCTATTACCACGAATCAATTTCAATTCCTATGAACATATATTTCAGAACTACATTGGACTTATTTGCGTAACATAGTTATTTAGAATCTCTATCATAAATAAATCTTCAGTAAAACCAACATATATATTTACATCTAAAAGAATCAGATTAAAACTTCAAATGAAAAAAATAGAAGTCAATCTCTCTCTTATTCTTTTTCGTACTTCGTTACACTCTAAATATATCATTTGTTCAAAAGTGTACAATAAAATAAAACTTTCATTTATTATTTATATTAGATACGATGGTAATGTTATTTTATATTAAATAATTGTTATCTAAATATAATAATAATTACCATAATACAAATATCTTGATCTTATAACAGATCAACAATTTTCTATTATCATCCAATAATTCTATCTCTCATAATAGAACGAAAAATTCTGTTCTATAATACACGCAATTACACTATCTATTTCTAAATTGGTTTAACTGTCTGATCGTGTTTCACATTTTTATCCCGCAAGGGATTACGCTAACAGTTTTTTCTAATAAAATAAAAACCGAAACTAAAGACTTATTGAAAAATAAACTCAATAAATTAACTAAATAAATAGTTCGGAAAAATAAAACATAAAAAATATTGTATTCGTATATTTATAAAAAGTAGAGTATCGCGCATTCTAAACTAAAGATCTGTTGAAATAAATTAGGTTTCTTAGTTATCTGATTAAATAATGGGAAATAATAGTAAGGACTATCTACGCTATACTGAAGTTCGTAAATGTTCTATAGCGATATTTAAGGTAAAGAATTATTTGTAAAAATCAATTCTATAAATTATATAATAAAATAGTTGAAAATAATAATAAATAGTATCTATTCTGTAACTAAATTGAGAAAAAATACTAGGGGGAAATTTAAAATAATAAATTATTTTCAATAATGGGTACTATAATTTATATGATAAAAGTGGTTGGAATAATAATGAAGATTATTTATCCGGTATTTGAAGTTATGGAAACTGCCGTATGGAAATTTAAAATTATTCTTTGTTTCTAATGATGAAGTGTAGAAATTACTTTTTATAATGATATGGAATAACAATTAAGTCTGTCGGTTTTATGAATTAATTTATAGAAATTAGTATTGCGAAATTTGTATGAATGATTGAATGATATTGATGAAGACTAGTGATTATCTCGTAGAAGGGATCGAGATAGTAATAAGATCTATGTATTGCATGTATAAATTTACAGGCAAAGATATTGCGAGATTTAAGAAACTGACGTGGTGATCTAGATGAAGTCTAGAAATTGTCTCGTGTAATGGTTTGGAATAATAGTAAAGTCTAGCTATTGTATTTATATGGTTAAAGAAATAACGATCGCGAAATTGGAAAAAATGACTGAATATTATATATGAAGATTATAATTCAGCTGATTTCATGTTTTTAAATATGAATGAAGTCGATTTATTCTATTGATACATGTATTTAAATAACTATATTGAAATCTGAAAAATAACCTAATGATAATAATGAAGTTTATAAATCATTTGATATAATGGTTGAGAATAGTAATAAATCCTGTTTATTCTACTTATGAATTTATCAAAATAAGTATATCGAAATTTGAAAAATGAATTACTGATACTGCTGCAGTTTTTAATTATCGGATACAATGGTTCGAAAGAATAACAACTTATATATATGCTATTTATAAATTTATTAAAATAACTATATCGAGATATAAGAAAATGACCTATTAACAATAATGAAATTGATTAATGGACTTATATAATGGTCCTGGACAATGAGTCAATCTATCTATTATATCTGAACATGTATAGAAATAAATCGAAGTTGAAAAACATGGACATCGTTTTAATCATTTAGCCGATGATTTATCGAATAAAATTGTTCAGAATTCTGATTCGCTTTTACGATTCGAATTTTAAATATGTCGGATTCATTTGTATAAGGAATTAAAAAAGGGACCTTGTCATATTAATTAAATTGATAGTTAATTTTTTATAAAGGTTTAGTAGTATAACTTTAAAAAAAAATTTATTCTAAAGTATATGATAACGATCAAAAGTAAAATTAGAAGTCTCAGTTAATTATAGCATGTACTTGATATTTTTTTTCTTATAAAATGATTGAGGGCTATACATTTATTGTAGTTGTTGTCCGTTTTTATAGTTGTTGTGTATTTTGCGAACAATACTTCTGCAAATACTTTGTTTAGTTTAAAAGGGTCTCTTCTTCTTTTCAAAACGTTTACGTTGATGAACAATAAGTAAATAAAAAATCATAAAAAAGTGTTCACAGAGAAAATATGGAAAAAGAAGATGAGCGAAACAAAAAAAACTGATCATTGTAGACGGGCACGTTTAGCTTCAAGTCGTGCAGATGATTTCCGTGTTGAGATAGATGAAGATGAACGTGGAGTTTTTATTCTGCGTTTTCTTGTAACAGTTGAAGAAGATTTCGCTGGATGTTCTGGACAATCAATTTCATTTTCACATTGTTGTGCTAATAACGATGTTGGAGATGCATGAATCTCATCAAGTTCTTTTGAATTTAAATTTAAGGAAGAACCGTGAATATGAGTTAATGCAGCTGATTTATTCTGAATTGTTATTGATGAGTTTGTTAGAGGAGCTAGAGCTTGTCGAGTAGTAGTTGAAGATTGATAAATATCATCTTCAACTGCAGCTGATGGTTGAGTGAAATCATCTTCATCAATTTCACTAATATTTTCTTCATCAATATTTCTTGATATTGTGACATTTAATTGAGATGAAGTATATTGATCAGGACGAGATTGTTCAGGTGATACTTGTGCAATCTAATGAGTAGAAAAAAAATTAACGTTTTTTTTATATATTAAATAACAAAATGACAAAGATGTAAAAAAATGAGATTATTCATTTGAAAAGGAACGTGTGAAGTATTGTTGGATTTTCGTATTCTTTATTTATTAGTGGTAGAAAATCATTTCATCGATCTTTCATAAGAAATATGATATTTTATCTAATTTCCAAAGAAAAAAATATTGCAAAGATAATTTATAATTATCTTATATCTTTTTTTTCTATATATATATGTATGAATTCATGTCATATAGAATATTTCGAATAATTTATAAGTAGAAGAGTATGTATGATATACAAAAGTAAAGATATATCTATCTGGAATTAAGTTTAAGTAAAAAACATTTTTTGTCAATAAAGAAATATCAACTTTGGTTTATACTCATATATATAATACGACATTGTACTATCAATATTTTCCCAACTTATAAAGACGAAATGTGGTTTTTTCTATTAAGTGAAATAAAAAACTTACTTCATTAGAAATATCAGATGGTGATGAGACATGTTCATTAGTAGTTGAAGGTTGAGTTAAACTTTTTACCAAATTTGTAACTACTACTTGTCGTCGCACAAAAGATCGATTTACAACCTTGTATTTCCAACTATTCAGCAAATTCTTGAGCGCTTTATTGAGATAGTGTGTGTCCTCGAACAGAACACCATAAAGAAGACGAGAACAGCGGTTATGATGACCAAATTTGATTTCGAATACGTAATACAACGATATTAGAAGTGCAAGAGCTTGAAAAGCAGAACTTGTATGTGTTACTAGGTGGAAGTCGAGGTAAAGCTCAAATTTATTATCAAGAATTTTCATACATGGACCAGGTGTTAGTACCTCCTGCATATAAAATTTAAAAAAGCAGTTTTTTTATAATCAAAAATTTAATTAACAGATTACCTCATATGTAAATATGTTTGCAACAGTATCGCTGAATAGTTTACATAGTACACGAATAACACGAATAGGTAAAACATCTAGATTGAAAAATATTTGAATTTCAGGTTAAATTAAAAAAGTTCTTTTTCTGAGAAAAATTATTTCAGATTTTAAATGAACAATTATGCTACAAAAAATTTTTAATTTAATGCTTCCAAACATGTAGAAATATAAGTTCATGCTAACTTATAAAAATTCTTTTTTTTTCAATTACTGTAAATTTTTTTCAGAAGCTTACCAGATAAAAAACAGTTGTTATCAGGTATATGATCAAAAAATTTTGGTAATAAAACATTGACGTTTTCTTCAATATCAATACCAGTAGATTCTTTTACTTCACCCAAGATCTAAAAAACAATTTGTAGAATTTAATTAAGTATTTAAATGACCTATGAAAAGTCGAAGAAAAATCGTTAGAAACATTAGTTTAACATGTAATCTTTACTGATTTTTCTTATTAAAAAAACATCCATATATTGAAGTTACTCTTTTGTATTAAAAATATAATGTTTATAACTTTGAATCATAGTGTTAATGTACAGAAAAAATATGTAAAAGTGGAATATTTTTTCAAAAATATCGAGGAAAACAACTGACTTTAAATAGAAACTATAACAAGTATGTTATCGCATTAAAGTAGGGCTTTATCAGACTTCACGAGATATTTCTAATGAAAAACTTTCTGTTATCGAAATAAACTGTTTTGATGTGAATTCAAAATCAATATTTTTATTATAATATATCTTTAAAGCCAGTATTTTTAAAGAAAACTATAGTCCAGACTTGTTATATTTTGTACGATGTAGACAAATAAATTTATGAACTAAAGTATCAGTTCCTTCTTGCGGCTAACTAATTCTCTATAGATCAACTTTTGAAAAAAACTTTTTTTATTAAAGTACAATCGATAATGTTTACCATTTCTGAACGACGATAACCGGGAAAACGTTCGAGTATTTCGACTATATCCAATTCACGAATACATAGACGTCTTATGTTGAAGGATTGTATCCAAAGATCATGAAGTAATTCATTATTAGGATCATCTTTAAGTAATTCCATGTTCATCTGATTGACCATGACTAATAAATTTTCATTTTCTCGATGAGCTAAATTAATCAATGGCTACAAGCAAATGACATGATATATCATTCAAAATCATATGAAAACTTACTATATCAACACGACGACGTTCAGCTTGTAGAATTGTACTTTTTTTTTTCGGTCTTCCATTTGTTTTACCATTGCCATATTTTTCTTGTTTACTTTTAACTAAATTATTACTCATTTGTAAAGGTTTACGTTCACGTTTGAATTTTTGTTTAATTGATTCGTGCCAGTCTTTCTAAAATAAAAGCAAATATTTAATATATTTATAAGTTTTTTTTCTTACAATTGAATTTTTTGATAATGCTGGAGGAATGTGGAGTTTGTTAACGATCGATTTTGCCATTCTTAAGTAGTCATCATTGCTTGGATACCTAAATGAGGAGAGATAAAAATATAAAAATAATATTTATAAATAAAAACTTACAATAAATCATAAGATTTTGTCACATGATCATAAATTAATGTCAATACTTCGCTTCTTGTTCTTGTATGCGGGTTAAATTTCGATATATTTTCTTGTTCAATATACTCTTCCATTCGACTAGTCAAATTTGGTCCTTCATAATCATCTGGTAACATAGGTTTATTATCAATATCTACATCATCATTAAGAGGTAAACTTGATGAAGAACCAAGATCTGTTGTTGAAGCACGATTATTTGTTACTATATTTTCATTTGCATCTACTGAATTTAACATATCATTATTTTCTAATTCATCATAAACTTGAACCACTGATAATGTTGAATCAGATACACCAAGAGTAGCTGCATCTTTGTTTGCTTGTTGATCATTATAATATAAAATTAATTTTGCACGTTGATCAACAAATTTTACACGATCTTTTACACGAGGAAATATTTGAATGAGATCATTATGTTGAAGTAAAGCTAATGTCGCGCCATCAATATCTTCTTCTAAAGTAGAAAAATAGTTATTTCAGTTAAGTTTAAAGAAACTAGCTTCATAATAACTACATACATTACTATATGACAAACTAATTAAAAAATTGTTTTCTTTCTTCTTGATCAGCGCAAAACAGAGAAAAAAATTTAATGTTCAGTTAAACGAGTTAGAACATTGATATAATTTTTTTGTTCAACAATATATATGTCGAGACAATGAGGATATATCTTAAGACAATGCTCTATATTAATTATACATAATTTTCCTGTATATTCTATTTCGTAAGCCCATAATTTCTCATTAAAGGAAACAGTATCTAATGTTTCGGCAATAACAAATAATTTGTCGGCGATATTTAATATATAATGAACTTCACAAAATACAGGAACTTCTTCAGTATGAATTAAATGATGAATCATTATAGATTTTGTTCGGATATTAATATGATGATAATCGATAGATGCGCATTGACATATTAAATCTGTATCTTTAATATCATCGATTAATAAACGTCGCAGCGGAAGCGAGAGCTTAGAGTATTCGATTGGTTTAGACGATCGAATTGTTATTGACGAAGAAGGAAAAGACGAATGTAATGTATTCAAAAGGCAATGGCGCAATTGATGACGTTTTGAAAGGGTAAGTAAAGGATTCTTGAAGTTGAATGATCGAATAGCGAGTTGCTTAAAATACAGATGTTTAGATTCGAAGCGGATACAGGAATTTAATATAGGAAGTCCATGCATTTCAATAGATCGTGGATATTCAGTGATGAAGTGCACTTTTGGAGTTACATAGTCAGGTAAAAATTCGATCATTAGAGAATAAAATTGTTTACATAATCCATCTAAGTACGGTAGCCACGATTTTCTAATTGGATTGGCGTAGATATAACTGATAATCTCACGTAATATAATGTAAACAGGAAATAGAGTAAGATCATCTATTAAATCATGGAATATTATCGGAAATAACCGAAATAAGCATAATTTGTGACTGGCAGAACCAACAATATTCGAGTATACTATATGTTGCTTTTTAATAGGTGGAGGTTTGTTGGATGAATCATAAAAGCCATACTTGAAACTTGATGTGCGTTGTTCAATTTCTGCATAAGTCAGAAGACGATGTTGAATGGCTTCTTTCAATAAGACACTTATAACAAGCGGACATACGCCTCGAAAAAAAAAAATAAACATTGAATTTCCCTATTTAATTCTCACAAAAAAGTTCTTATTTTTGCATAGAGTATTACCTTCGGAAAAATCATGCATTACATCTGGTGGTAGTGATTCTGTTGGATGAAAACCGATAAGATCTTTAAACCAACTAGGAACTTTGACACCTTGAATGATTTGACGACCGTTGTTAAGTATAACTTGATTAAGAATAAAATCGTGCTTTAGACGAGTGCGAGGTACGAACGATATGTCAGTTAATGGAATATGTTTTTGTTCATAAGTAATGAAACAATGTCGACAGAAACTTCCTGAACTGAAAGATTTCTGAAAGCCACCAACTTCATTCGATGCTAAGTTATCACCACAAACGGAAGAAAAAACGAAATAAATTCTGCTCGAAAGACAAGGAATTGTGATGCCATCATTTTGAAGTTTATTAATATCCTCCACAAGGACGTTGGTTAAGATCGTTCTACTGTTATCATTATTCAAATGTTTTGTATAACATATACAATGTAAACCAATGGAATTAACTTGTGAACGAATTACTTCAGGTAGATCATCTAATAGATAATAAAAACAAGTGAGCTTGGGGAGTCTCTATGAGGACCTATCGGATTTGTAATGGAAATACCATCTGTATATAATTTCAATAGCAAGACATTTGAATTTGTTTGACGATAAAGGTTTGTTTTTACGAAATGACCTTGTCGATTAGATAAAACTAGGTCTTTATCTTGCGCAACACGATTTGATAACGAATTGATATTATCAATAATGGCATGTAACAGTTGACCATCTTGAAGTGTATAAGATAAACTTTTTTTCAAAGGAATATAATACGCGTGTTCATTAGGTTGATCTAATATAATTTCAACTGGAGGTTCATAACTGAAGTGTTTCTTACATCGTTTCAAAAATTGATATTCATTTTTACTAATGGAATTGATCATCGAAGTGATGTGCGCAAAAGCATTTTCATAAGCAGTGACCGAGAGAAGTGATGTTGTTGATGGTGCTTTTGTTTTGATTAATTTGATAATCATGTCAAATAGTTTACAGATGTTAGATGAAATTAATTGTACGATCTTCTGCGGAAGAAGATGATGTTCTCGAAGTTCAAGGAGAAAATATGTATAAAATTGGGCAAGTTTATCAAAATTGAGTTGTTGATTCGTAGAAGAAGATGAAACAGAATCGAACGAAGAAAATAAACGATCTAATTCATCAATTTCTTCATCTGGATAAATAGATGAATCAGGATCACCAGCACATTGTAATGTATCATCAAATGTAAGATCAGAAAATAAATCTTCGATACTATCAGAAATATCAGCGGATGATATAGTATCATTGTTGTCAAGCGAATCGAGAAGAGAGCGATGACAGCGATAAATATGGCGTCGGTAACTATCATAAGATGAATAACGAGATCCACACATCATACTTAATTCACATCGGATGCTAAAAGGTGGTTCTTCACGATGCTCATCGCGAATATGAGCGAATAATTTAGGATAGTGTTGAAAAACGTTTGGAGATTCGCAAAGCGGACAAAAATAATATAGTTGAGACATACGAATGTTTCAAAATTTTGAAATACTTTAACAATTTAGACGAATATGATAGCGTAAAAATATTTAACTAAAAAAAGTTTCAAACAATATATTAGACTCTTTTCTAAAGAAAATTAGTAGACTATGTTTCGAAATCTATTTCTAAGATATCAGCATTTTATATTAATAAATAAGTCATTTTTTTACTTTCTTACATTCCCAACATATCTTATAAGACCGAGCTTTTCTTCATAGTCAGTTTTACAGTTAAGAAAATAGTATTTTTTATTACTTCAATGTTTTTGTAAAAATACATAATGCTGCAGTTACTTTATCAACAGTAATATATTATTAATTAAATGAAAATAGGTGCATTACGATTACAATAAGCTGTGAGACAATAATAAATTATACAAAGCGAATTTTACCTCGAAAATAACGAATAATCATTTCATCCGAAATAAATTTTTGAAGCCAAGAAATAACATAAGTAGTTGATAAATTCTCCATTTGAAACAATCACTTCTAACAAATCAACAATATTTAGCATTTGCAATAAATAACCTATTTCAGTATATTAAATACCTTTTTTTTATTCTAATTAAATAAATGTTCACTTGTCAGATTCAATAAATAGCAAGATCAGTAATTACACAAAAAATCAATTAACATAAAATTGAATACGTTGATCTAAAAAAGAAAATATTGCATTCTTAGTTACGATGGTCATATTTTTCGAAGAACAGATACATATTTTCTTTCTTATCTTGCTCAAAGAAATCTTTACTTACTAGATTTAATATACGACAACAAGAAGAACGATGTATAACGTACAATAATCAATACTAAGTTGAATAAGTTGATCTGAAAAAAAAAGATTTAAATGTTCAATTAAAACAATAATTATTTACGAAATAGACAAGTCATTTTGTTTTATAATTAAAAGAATATTTACCTGCTAAATATACTAAATGACGAGAATATAAACAATCAATGGACCACAAAAATTAACATAAACTTGAAAGATCAACCTAAAAACAATAAATATTTAGTCTTTGATATAATGGTAATGTTTTTCGAAAAAAATAGATGTCTTCTTCACCATTTCAGTTAAAATATCTTTACTCACGAGGTTTACTAAACAATAACCAGATCAACGATAGATAAATTATAATCGTAGATGTAAATTTATATTCAGTTGACCTAAAAAAGATTGGAGGTAAATTTTCAATAAAAATACTTGTTTTTTGAAATAATAAACGTCTTATTTATTATTTAAGCTAAAATAATTTCTACTTACCAGAATTAATGAACAATAGTCTAGTGAACGAGTGGAAAAAACAATAATCAGTATTAATTTTGTATTAAGTTGACCTAGAAAAAAATTGCAAGTAAATTTTCACTTAAAAATATCATTTTTTAAAAAATTAACCTTCCATTTATTATTTACACAAAAAGACTTTACTCACGAGATTTAATAAACAATAATCAATGTTAATTTCGTTTAAGTTGACCTAGAAAGAAAAATTGCAATTAAATCTTCAATTAAAACATTCGTTTTTTAAAAAAATGAACGATTCATTTATTATTTAAGCTAAAAAAATTTTTACTTACGAAATTAAATAAACAATAGCCAGGCGAATGCGTTGAAAAAACAATAGTCAATGTTAATACGGGTTAAGTTGACCTAGAAAAAACAAAATTGCAAGGAAATTTTAAATTAAAATAATCATTTTTTAAAAAAATGAACGGTTCATTTATTATTCAAACTAAAATGATTTTTACTTACGGGGTTTGATATATAATAACAAGATGACCGATACACCAATAGTTGTAAATGTAGATTTATATTCAGTTGACCTAAAAAAAAGATTGCAAGTAAATTTTCATTTAAAATACTTATTTTTTAAAAGAATCAACGTTTCACTTATTATTTAACCTAAAAAAACTTTACTTACGTGTTTAATAAACAATAACATGATCAACGAATAACCAATAGTTGTAAATGTAAATTTTTATTCAGTTGACCTAAAAAAGAAAGATTGGAAGTAAATTTTCAATAAAAAGACTTGTTTTTTAAATTAATAAACGTCTCATTTATTATTTATGCTAAATAAATCTTTACTTACCAGATTTAATAAACAAATATAAGATAAATGAGTCCAAAAAACAATAATCAATATTAATTTGTGTTCAGTTGATCTAGAAAAGAAGATTGCAGCTAAACCTGCAATTAAAATAATCATTTTTTTCAAAAATAACCGGTTCATTTATTATTTAAACTAAATAAATTTTTACTTACGAGGATTAATAAATAAAAACCGGATCAAATATTTACCAAGAATAATAGCCAATGAAAATCTGTATTCAATTGACCTAAAAAAAGGATTGCAGCTAAACCTACAATTAAAATAATCATTTTTTTAAGTAATAAAAGTTTCATTTATTATTTAACCTAAATAAATTTTTACTTACGAGATTTAATAAGCAATAACAATATTAAATATTTACCGAGAATAACAGTAAATGTAAATCTGTATTCAGTTGAGCTAAAAAATAGATTGCAAGTGAATTTTTAATTAAAATAATTATTTTTTAAATAATAAACGTTTCATTTATTGTTTAAGCTAAAAACATATTTCCTTACAAGATGCAATAAATGAGAAGAAGATATATAATTAATGGAAAACGACGATTAGCATAGACTTCAACAATTGATCTAAAAATATTATAAGTCGGTATTTTTACTAATTCATTAATTTTTTTCAAAAAAAGTCTTTTCTTTCTTGTTTCGAACTAATAAGCTCTTTGCTCGAGCAAAATGAATACATGAAAAGACGAAATCAATAATTATAGTCAGTTTAGTTACGTTGATCAGGAAAAAACTTTTATAATTGAAATTAAAATTTAATCCATAAGTATAAAGGATAAATGTTCAATGATAAATAATGGACTTATATTCGATTGGCTATTTATCTAATATATAATTTTATTGATTACTACCGACATCCTTGTGAATAATGAAATGTCTTGAAATATAGTTCAGAAAGAAAAATAACAGTTTCGATATATCTATTATAAATTGATATAAATTCAAAATGTGAAAACATAACAAAGTACTATCGTAAAAAACATTCTTAAACAAATATTAAATTAAATCTAACATGGATCATTTTTTTATTATAAAAAAAATTTCATTGCAACCAGAATCACATACTATTAGGTAGTAAGTGTCTGAAACTTACCAACAATATAGGAAACTGCATTTTCGGTTTAGTGAGAAAACAGCGAATATTGTGACTGTTATAAGCTGTGACAAACTCCTATATATCGTTCGAAACTATCAACGGTTTTGTTTATTATATGTCAAACGTCTTGTTAGTCTTTGGTAGGACCATTTATTGCATATACAATATACCGGACCATTAGAAATCCTACGAAACTATCGACCGGTTCATTTAAAGAATGTTAAACCTTTACTAAGCTTGAAAGACTGTAAACCATAGTGCAAAAAATATATTAACCTATTTAGAAGTGTGCCTAGTATTAAATAGATTTGTACAAAGCATACCAAACTTCTAGCCATAAACGGAAACCGTTAAACATTTCGTATGAGGGACAATGAATCTTGAGAAAACTAATTTGATCATAGACCGTTCAGTAGAATAACGCACGAAACCTTTGATTAGCTTACGAAGCTACCAATCGTTTCGCATAAACAAATCCAAAACACTACTTAGTATACGTAACAATTCAGCGTTTAACGCAAAATATCCAGAACTTTACTAAAAGCCGCGAAACTATAAATTATTTTGCATAATGTGTACTGAACTATTCGGAGGCTTCTGAAGCTATGAACCGTTCATTGCTAAACACAGCAAACCTTTAAATAGTTTACTGAATTATCAAGAGTTCTGTGTGAAGCATACTAAACCTTTGGGAAGCAAACGGAACAATCTATCGTGTGGCATGAAATATTCTAAACCTTTAACTATAATACGGAACCATTCATCGTTTTATACATAGCAGACTGAACCTTTCCTTGGTCTTTGAAAGTACAAATCGTTTAGTATAAAATATACTAAACCATTACAAAATCTACTAAATCATCTGTCGTTTCGTATGACGTTTGCTGAACTTGTCCATAGTATATGTAACCATAAATAGTTCAGTATGATGAATACCAAACCTTTACTAGAACTACGAAACCCCCGAACATTTTGTATTCCGTTTACTGAACCTTTAGTTATTTCACCGAACTGTCAATGGCTTAGTATAAAATCTACTCATCTATTACAGCGTCTACGAAGTCTTTAATCGTTTGGCAAATACGATACGGAACCCTTAAAGATTATACGATGCTATATACCGTTTAGCATGAAATAAGCCAAACCTTCACTCATTCTGCAGAACCATCAGCAGTATCGTACGAAATATATGAAACTTTTGCGAAACCATCAGGATAATTATTCGTTTAGCGTAAAAGATACCAAACCGAAAGATAACCGACGAAACTATTAATCGCTTCACTACTAATTTAACCAAACCCCTAATTACTGTACGGATCTCTCAATGGTTCCGTATAAAGTCTGCCAAACTTTTGAATGACCTACGAACCTATTAATCGTTTCATGTCATTCAGGCCAAACCATTAATCATTCTACAAAACCATCAAGGGTTCGGTATAAAATAACCTAAACTCGGGAAATTCTACGAAGCCATGCATTGTCTCGTGTTAGTCAGGCTAAACCTTTAGCCAATGCACGAAACCATGAAGTATTCTAGGTCATTTAGGCCGAACCTTTAGTCGGTGGACTGAACCACCAAGGGTTCAGTATAAAGTATAATAAACTTTGCCAATTCATGCCAAACCGTGAATCGTTTCGTGCGCCTTTTACGAAACCTTTAGTCACTCTACAAAGCCACCAAGGGTTCAGCATAAAACATCCTAAACTTTGGCAGACCCTACGGAACCATCAATCGTTCCGTGCCACTTCCGCGAAACCTTTAGTCATTATTCA